GCAGAAAACAGTTAATAATAATCAACAAAGGTAAGATTTTGTTCCAAAAGTCATGTCTTTTAAAAAAAAGCAATCCATTAGATTTCACATATACTTTTAGTTTTAAAGTGTCATGTTTTGATAAATATTTAATGTTCCATATACACTTAACTTATGGATAGCGTTATTATTTGTTTAGTCTTTTTCAGCGTCTTGATTCAAAATCAAAGGATATATCTAAAATCGCTGCAGATATCACCCAGGCAGTGTCTCTCTCCCAAGGAATTGAGAGAAAAAAGGTGATCCAGCATATCAGAGGAATGTATAAAGTAGACTTGAGTGCCAGCAGACATTGGCAGGAACTTATTCAGCAACTGACGCATGATAGGTAGGCAATGGGAGACATCTTAAGTTGTATTGTATGAATATTTCGTATATTGCGGTGAAACACAGTTTTTATTCCAGAATTCAGACTCATAAAATGGTTTCATTATTTAAACTTTTATTGTGTAACCATTTGCAATTTTTTTTCATCTTGAAGAATAATCCATATGTTTTTTTTTTTCTGGGGGAAAAAAGTAATGAGGGAGAAAGGCATTAGCTCTTCCAGATAGTATTATTGGCTTTAATTTTACAATATGGTCTTTGTAAAAGAATAGAGGAATCACTGAAATAAAATAGTTGAGAAAAATATCCTTTTCTACCTATGACTATTAATAAGATTAAAAAGATAAACTGAAAATTATGAAAGGAGGGAAATTAAAGTATTATTCTCTAAATTTGGTTAAGATAACTGATTTGTGTGACTTTGGTGTGCTAAAATACACTAAAAATATATATGAAAGTAAATTCCGGATGGATGAAAGAATTAAATTCAAACAGTTTATAAAGTAGAAGAAAATAGGGTATTTATCAACTCTGGGTGGATAACTTTTAAGCTCAAACACAATAAAAAAAAATTGCAAAGAAACCAGTGGATTTGAATCTTAGTTTTTTGTAGTGTTTTTAACAACTTTCAACAACAATGACAAAAAAACATGGAAATTTATTTTCAGCAAATATAGTAAAGAGTTAATATTCTTACTGTTTGAAAACTCATGCAAATTCTAAAGTAAAATATTATGATCCCAGAAGTTTGAACAAGCAAAAGACATGAACGCACTATTCATGTAAGACAAATAGAATTTATAAACACATGGGAAAATATTCAATATTGCTAGAGACTAATTCAGTTTTTTAAAACCTTTAGATACCACATTTTACTTTCATGTTTAAAATAAATGTTTTTTCAGCTGCTAATATCCACAGCAGGATATTAGCTGTCCTTAGAGCTTTTGTGACATTGTACACTTTGACAGTATGTATCAGGAACCCTACAAACATTTTATTTCTAGCTTCAATTATCTTATTTTAGTGATTCTATCCTAAGGAAAATATTAAAAATATGGAAGGCAATAAACATAAAAGTTTTTATCTCTGCATT